ACTTAAAGACAACGTTTGTATCATGAAACGACGGCACTTTTATTCAAAAAAGAGGAGTGTGCATCGGTTCATGCATAGCATCTGTTTTAAGTGACATTTCTCTCACTCACCATGACCGACTCTTGGCTAGCCACTTCGACAGAACGGCTGTCGTAAAGGTGTTTCGTTCTGGTGACGACTTTCTTGTGCTTTTATACTGCGATGATCGGCGCTTCGAAGCTGCTGTTTCAAACATGTTACGTCGTTTCGATGAGTGCATGGCACCTCTTATTCTTATGCATAAGCTTCTGCAGGATGCTTCGTTTAAGATTTTTAGATTTCAGATTAAACATGTCATGTGATCACCTTTCCTGGAAATATGAGCCCAGAGGAAGCAAACCTCTTCTACCGTACTTGTCGACACATTCAAAGCTCGTAAACAGAGGGATTGCTAATCATTGTTTATGAAATGCCCACGGAAAGTCTTACGGCCACTTGTTAATCAGCAGCTTCGTTGAGCAGGCTTCCCGTCTGATTAGCCCTGGTTTCCCCGATTATGTGCTGGTTTCCATGGCGGAAAAGTTGCTTAGGACAATTAAACAGGGACGAGAAGCACCAGTGAACTGCATGGCTAGTAGCTCAAAGCGCGTCGCTGTGATTCCGTATCTACATGGGATCTCTCACAATTTGAAAAAAATAGGTGATAAGGTAGATATGAAGGTTGTGTTCTCTACCCCAGAAAAGCTTTCAGGGCTCTGCAAACAGGTGAATGTGCAGTTCGCACGAAGGAGCTGCTGCACAATCAAACATAGAAGGCTATTCATAGCATGTGTGATAGCCGTCGTTTATTTGCTCTCGTTGTCATGCGGCAAGATATATGTAGGACAAACGGTCCCAGTGCCTGGATCAGCGTATAATGGAGCATCATTACAATGTATACTCAGCTGTGCAAGGTCATTTGGGCATCCATTGCAGAGATTGTGGTTGCAGACCGTAATTTGAAAAGTGCACTGTTGTAGCCAAACAACGTCAGCAGCTAACGCAAGAGATAATGGAGGCAAATGCTGGATGATCGATGTATCAGCATGCCTTCGCTTGCTCTGACTAAAAAAGAAATTAGAGTCTCTGGCTTTGACACAATAGATCATGAATTTGTGCCGAGCTGTGGCATCGTAACTATATATTGAGATGATGATTGTCTTGCTATGATCCAATAGATTGTGCGATTGCACGGTGATGTTCTGTCACAACTATATATTTCCAGCATTTTCGCCAATAAAATTTCAGTTGAAGTCAGCGCTCTTTCTGTCCTTGTCTCTTCTTCTGTAGTTACGTCGTAACTACTCGCAGTCTTGCGCTGTGCAAATTTGTTGTTTACTTTGGCCAGTCTTTCTGGGCGTGAGCGGTTGAGCTGTGTTGAGATTCTCCGTCAGGCGCTCTTTTTTGGCACGCCACCTATCTAGCACTGGTCACCCATATTTGTTTTATGCACCAGGTGCAACGCTGTAAAAGCTATGCAAAAAGTTAGGTCAGCAAAATGTATCGCTATGCATGTCTTGCGGTCGCTCGCGTGTCATTTGATTAGTGCCAGTGCACCCTCGCATTTTGTTGTGCACCCCTTAGAAAGACTGGCGAAGAGAATAAAGCGTGGAGAGAACAAGAAGACGCGGATGCCGAACAACTCTGTGTTGTCCCCTGCATTGACACTGCCTCATGGAATAGAAAGTCCAGGTGGTCGCCATCGTGATGCACCCCGACCAGAGTGTCTGTTTGTGACGTCACGTGGAATCTAAGTTATCGAGCCGCATACCGTATTTACTCGATTCTACCGAGCCCTCGATTGTAACGTGCACCCGGTTTCCACGATAAAAAAAAAAGTAAGACATCGATTGCAACGCGCACCCATTTTTCTCGTTGGCCCGCACGATCACACCACGCGAGAGAACAACTCCTTTCACGAGCGTCTTCCATTTATATATGAGGTACGGGGGAAGCTTGGGCCTATCTGACGTGCAACGGAGCATTGCTGTCACTCTAGTTTTACCGTGGCCCGATGTCAGCATGCGAACTTGCTTCGCCCCCTTCTCGACGGCTATGGTGCCAGGCATGTCGAAGTAAAGAGGCGTCTGATCGGCATTCCCGATTTGCCCAAGCAGGTACCCGTTGTTGTGCCGCAAATTTTGGCATATGCCCGTTCGCCTTCGGAGGAAAAAGCCTTTCCTCTTCATAAAGTTAGTTAGCCGGTACAGGCTCGCTTTAAACTGGCTCCGCATTATCCCTTTTTCTAAGGCTAACTGCATAGCCTGCACTTGGAGCAGTTCTGTCGTCACGGGCCGCTCACTGCTCAATCATATACTCGCCGAGCAGCTCTTCAATTTGCGGAAACCGACCCTGCTGTGGTCCACTGAAGCCTTTGCTGAATGTTTGCTGTCGACAATATTTTGCTTTTGTTTGCGCCAGTCCCGCACGCATTCTTCGGAAACTCCGAACGACCGCGACGCGGCCCGATTTCCGTCCGTTTTGGCACACGCGATGACATTTCTTTTAAAAGCGGCATCGTGGTGCACTCGTCGAGTTTTTGAAGTTGGCCCTTCAATGCCGTCGATGCTAATGCACTACAAGATGACGAACTCCTCAGTGCACGTACGATGTGCCGCACATGGGAAACACATAGGCAGAAATGGCCGACGCACCATTCCACGAAGGCGCCATACCAACGCATGTAGGGGGCGGCCATTTTGGAAATGCCGATGGCAATAGAATACTGTATATATATTTTTTTTCATACTTGATTCTAACGCGCATGCGATTTATGAACTCGCTTAACCGGAAAAAAGATGCGCGTTAGATTCGAGTAATTATGGTAATATCAGACATTTAATGGCATTTTTGTTTGCAAGGCAGAAAGTATATGCGATCACTTCTCGCCGTATTAAAAAAAAAATTTTGTTGGTGGTAAAAGCATTAAACAACTTTTTTTGTCACGAATTGATCAAGAAGTCTCACTACCCTCAACAGCATTGCCAATGATGTATGAAAAAAAGTGTAGAGTATTTTAGATGAGAAGCAGATCATGATTGGGGCTTGTCCTTCATTGTATCCACGTTAGTACTCGGAGCGCCCACTAGAAGGCTCTGTGGTAAAGCACTCGTTCCCCTCCAGCATGTGTTCTAGTATGAGCGAAGCACCCTAATAGCGCTGCGCTGCTCTGTATGATAAAAGCACTTACACCTTTCTCTCTCTCACACACACACAGTGTAGTACTATGAATGAACACATGAGCTTAAGTGTGGCGGAGGCAAAGGCTCACAAAGCAGCTGTGTGCGCAACGATGAACGTCTACAGTGATGAATAAAGTAATAATAATGACTTTATGACTTTATTTCGCATCAAGGATACATGATGCAGGACACCTGCAGAAAAAGCTGGCGTGATGCCAGCTTGACAACGCCACAGGCCCCCCTTCCCCCTCCCCGAACACATCGCAGCAGCGGTAACACTTTCATAAAAACATTCGGGATCATACGCGTAAAATAAACAGGTCTATGACAAGAAAGAAATCATCACTGTACATGTGTGATAAAACGAAACGTCTAATGCTTAAAGAACAACAACAAAAAATCTATTTCAAAAGATGCAAAAAATGTTGGCGTATTTGCCTTAAAAAAAGGAAGCATTTGCGTAATACATCCGAGCGAAGCATACAAACATGTATACGACAAAATTGAGCAATCAACACTGTACAGGTGTAACATATTGGTACATATAATGCTATAAACAAATAATTTCGCAATGTGAAATACAGGCGCATTTGCCTTGCAAGACACAGAAAAAAGCATCATAAAAAAGAAATATGCCTAATTTATTGCTTTGGCAACACCACAAATGCATACTCATTTCCTAAAACAGAAAAAACAAACAAGACACCAAGAAACATATCGTGAAAAAAAACACAAAGCAGTATACAAAATACACGTCAACAAAAACAAAATACAAAAATACATTCTTTAGAAATTACAAGTAACAGAAACGAGTGATCATGACATCTGGAGGAAATGATTCCGCAGTTGTTTAAAGGTGATTTTTTCTAAGTCAATTTCGTTATCCCTAAGTTCATTTAGTAACCTTGGAAGTTTATTTCCCAACGATTGAAGACCGTATGTGGTTCTAAAGGTTCGAACAGTCCACACTTCATTTTTCCGGGTATTATACTTAGGCTGGTTGAGTATTAAATCTGCCAACTGCTTTAGAAACGGGTTAGAGTTTTTTATGTCTTGCTTATATTTCTTGGACACAAGAAAATCATACATTTTTATGTGTACCTCTTTACAAAACTATAAGTCGACCCATGACTGCTTCGCATACAACTCAGGGTTACATTCAAAGAAAAGATGTGTGCGATTTTTTCATAAAGTACAAGGTTCATCATCCAGTACTTTTTAATTGCTAGTTTTGAAAACAAGAAGTCACTGAAGAGATTATTCTCAAATACTCAAATGCATGACACCCTTTTCTTGCACAATCGAGCCAATTGTAGAATGCTCTGGGGATGATTTTCTCCTTGAGATTTGCAATGAATCAAAAATATCTGTGACTATTCTTTGAAACATCCTAATAATTATTTAGGTGCTTGAATATAAATACAATTTGCTTCTCCAGTGTACACTTACTTCAGGATTTGAAATTAGCTTCTTCTGAGGCTACAAAATGCTAAATTTACTGCTCTGAAGTGCTTACAAAGCTTTTTGTTGCTCCAAAGTGCTCAAAAATGAAAAGTTCACTGCTCCAGAAATTGGTCCAAGTCTAAGTCCTCAATAGCATCCCTGTGGTTGTGACATTGATGCAGCCAAGACTAGTAGCTAGAGGGGCATGTGTGAGCTACTGTGCACCAGAGATGCAACATTATTTCATGGTGGTGCGACTGACATAAGCATCGAAATCTAGCATATCGGTGGGATATGCCAAATTTAGCAATATTAAGATTGCGCATCAAAGGATTGAGCATAGCAGGAATAACTTACCAATTGTCTTGACCTTCCTGCCAAGGTCCCCCAGACAGCGGTTGGTCTGCTCAAGGTCTAGCAAGTATTCGCCTGCCCGCCGCTCGAATAGCCCTGGCAAAACACATGTTCCCATAGTTTTTTGTAAGTGCACTCGATAAATAAGCGCAAGAAAAGGCACTACGCACCCTTTCAGTCATGCGTACTCCCGCCCACACATTGGTGACTACATGTAATCAATCCTTCTTTTAATGTTGCTGTGATTTGATTAATCATTTTTATCATGTGTGGATCATTGTAATTTGATTATTTTATAATTAACTATATATTACACCAGTGTCGCACGCTGGACAGCTAAGCTCAACTGTGATTTACTTTGTCAACAATGACTGGCTCTTTTATGCAAGTTACGTAAAGTAGCCAATGACGAAGAAATTCGATTCAGGTGAGACCTGTGACCGTGATGACAGAGGTATTTCTTTATCATCGGAATCACAAGATGCTTTACCTCATGATGAAACGAAGAATGATTTCATTCCTTTGCACTTGTTTCCACTGAGAGCCGAAATTTGCAGTCTGAATGTAGCATTTGTATCAGATACGCCGTAGATGGTCACGACAGCCTCACGTCCGTGCACATTTCTGTAGGCACACCTAAGCGCTCCAAGTTCGGTGCACCATCTGAACAGCAGCAGCTCTGTGCTTCTAACAATAGTTCAGCAATATCACACTCCAGAAGTTGTCCAATGGCATGATTATTAGGAAGTCCTGAACCCCCGCCTGTGCTTATGCTGGGGGAAACTTGTTTGATAGTGTCCCCCACTCGTGATTCTTCACATTTGAACATTTATACATGAGTTGCACGGGTGTCACATGCGAGAACGAGAGGACTGAAAGCTTCCATCTTTAAAAACATCTGGGGCCATGCAGTCGAGAGTTTTGCAGCGGCAGGATGTATATCTTGAAGGCTTCACCGACTTCACCTTACCTATTTGCGCTATTTTCAGGCGCAGAAGAAGAAGCGGAGCATTTGCTTCGAAAGACAAAAATAGTCGCGCTGCCAGAAAATAGCGGCTAACATCAACATACCAAATTTCACCGAATGCTTCAGCAGTACGCAAACCGCCTACCTGCGCCAACCAAACCCTGCAAAGTGGCTTTCCTCTGCGTGGCGACTACAACGCTCCCTGTGCACTCAAAGAGCCAGTGATGATGTCAGATTCACTGGCCGGGATAAAAGCTTGCAAGCTGGACTGTTTCTTCAGTGAGCATGGACGCAGCAGGATGAGCATCACCTCTGATATACTGCCCTTTTGCGTGTTACAGGTGTGTAAAAGTTTACCTTTGCTTGCTAAAAAGAACGACAATTCTTGTCTACTCCTGCTTCCGTGTCCACAAGTGTTAAGTTCGACAATGTGCGATTGTTTTTCAATTATGTTTTTACTTCTTGGGTGTGGCGATGTTGAAGTTAATCCAGGCCCTGACTGGTGATCTAAGGGAAGCGTCCCAAGCGGTTTCCTATCTGAAAATCCTTCGGAGCAAATGAATACTATTCTTGCAATCTTGAAAGACCAACAGGAACTTATTACCCAGTCTTCTGAATGCCAGTCTGAGCTGGCTTCTGACATACAATCAATTGAAAATTTTCAGAAAAGCATTGACGGGAAGATTAGCGCCAGTTGTAAGCAAAAACAAAATTGGCCGACATACTTCGGCAGTCAACGTGCAGCATTCGAAACTCTCTTGTTGTGGTTGATCCTCGGCTTAACTCTGTAGATTCTCGACTTGATTATATCGAGCATCGATCGAGATGTTGCAACCTGTTGTTTCATGAGATACCTGACACCTGTGAAACATGGGAACAATCCGAAGCCCTTGTTAAGCAACGTCTGAGCATGATGCTGTATGACCTGCGTGAAAGTTCAATTGAACAAGCGCACCGTCTCGGCCCTTACACTACAAACAAATGCCACCCAATATTTGTCAAGTTTTCTAACCTTAGCAGTTCTTTTAGCTCATCAAAAACTAAAAAAGTAGAGCATTACCGCAAGCGAGAATTTTTCGCCTGCCACCCGGCAGGCTCGCAAAAGGCTTACTATTTTTGCTAAAAGTCAACCCGGTGAACCAAGCTATCAGTTATGATATAAAAAATTTGTAATCAACAAGAAACAGTATGTATACGACCCCGCAACTGATACAGTAAAAGAGCTTCTCACAATACCCGTGACTAATGGACACACACACGTGTTACCTGCAGCTAACGGCAATCAGTCAATCTATGCATTACAAACTACTACATAGGAATCAGTGGGGGGATCCAGGCTGACGCAACGAAAAGTGTCCTTTCTTTTTTGTAACATTCGTAGCATTGTTAACAAAGGTGAACTTTTATCATCCACAAATTGACACATGTAATGCCGATATCATAGCACTAACTGAAACATGGCTTCACTCCGATATTGAAGATGGCGAACATTTTCCACAGCATGACACTTTTCAATATATCGTTATGATCATAGTGAACGTCGAGGCAGTGGTGTGTTATTGGCATACGTAAAGATCTACCTTCTCATGCAGCATGTTGCAAGCACCTTAGAGACAGTCTGGGTGACAACCCAAATAAGCTATAGAAAAATTGTTCTTGGTATTTGCTATGATCCTCCTAACCTAACACAGAGCTTCATTAGTGAATTACACGAAGTGCTGAATTCTGTCGCTTTGAATCACAGTCACCTTCCCATTCTATTGCTCGGTGATTTTAACATACCAAACCTAAGTTAGATGGCCCTGCGATCCTCCCATTATTCCTCCGTTTTGCTCCTTGGCTTAAGATTTTCTAAACTTATGTTCCCTTTTCTCATTAACCCAGCTTGTTAGGCAACCAATTCGAATAACAGAGTCAGCATCAAACATTCTTGACCTTGTCCTTACAACTCATGCAGACCTTGTTTCCGATATTGCGCACTTGCCTGGTCTTAGTGACCATGTCCTACTTTTATTCAAAATGAATTCAGTTTGTCCTACACCTTCTAAACAAAAGAAAAGTATTCAAGATTACAAAAATGCTAACTATGATGCCATGACCTAAGAGCTTGCAGCCTTTCTTATTAACTTCATAATCAGATTTGAGTCATAATGTTGAGACCAATTAGAGCAGGTATGCAGCAAAAATTCATAAATTAACAGCTAAATATGTACTTATTATTATCATCAGTACAGATTCGAATGCTCCATGATATAACAAGCACCTAAAGTGTTTGTCGAATAAAATAAAAGCATCTTTTTAAGTCCACTAAAAATTCACCCATGACTTATCGCTGGACAGATTACACTAGAGAAGCAAACTAATACATAAATGCAGTTAAAGAAGCAAAAGATAATTTCCTAGCAAATGCCCTGCCATCGATGCTTTTAAGCAAAACAAAAAAATTCTGGTGCATGATTAAACCAAGCAACGATCATTCTATCACCTTAACTGATAGTTCAGGCAATGCAATCTCTGACAAAGAATGCTGTGAAATTCTTAATGAAGTATTTTCAAATAATTTTTCCTTCAGCACAAGCACAGCAGTGTCCACATTGCATACTTACAACTATACAACTATGCTTCCAGTAGAAATAAACTTCGATGGTGTGATAAAACTTGTTAAATCATTAAAATCTTTTTCTGCCCCTAGATCCGACCAAATTGAAGCAAGGTTTTTAAGGAGCACAATGACCTATTCATCTGTCCTCCTAACAATGATACTCGGACAAACTCTGGACACTGGTTCTCTTTCATCAAACTGGAAAACAGAGAAGCTAATTTCATTCTATAAATCGAGTAAAAGGCATTCCCCTCTTAACTACGGGCTCATCTCCCTTACTACGTAGCATACCATGCGAAACGTTTGAACATATCCTGTTCTCAGATATCATAAAATACCTTGAATCCGACTTGTTGTTCTCATCATCTCAACACAGCTTTCGTAAAACATACTCCTGCAAAACCCAACTAACGTCTTCTACACACAAATTGCATATCATTCTAGACAACTCTTCATTTGCCGAGTGCATTTTCCTCGATTTCTCAAAAGCATTGGTCAAACTTTGCCATAAATTACTTCTATACAAACTTAGTCTACCAAACATTGACTCTAAACTTTGACTCATTGACTCTAAACCAAACATTGTCTCTAAACTTGACCAGATCTGTTCTTGGACCTCTTCTTTTTAATATTTACATAAACGATTTACCTTCTTGCGTTTCCTCAAATATTCACCTTTTCACAGATGATAGCATAATCTCCAGAAAAATAACTTGTGACAATAATATACCTCTTCTTCAATCTGATCTAAATGCAGTCTTTTATATGGTGCAAACAGTGGCAAATGGAATTAAACATAACTAAATAAAAATTTATGCGAGTAACTCGATCAAAAATCTTTGAACCTTTTTGCAGACTCAATAATGAACCATTAAAACCTGTGTCTAACTACAAATATCGTTGCGTACATATGTCAAATTAAACTTCGAGTTAATATATTAGACACATTGTGAATAAAGCAAAGAACATGCTGGGTTACATTTGTCGAAATTTTTAAGATCACCTTCTTCCTTAAAGCTTCTCTTATACAAAACACTAATCAGATCTAAACTTGAATATGCTGCATCAGTATGGGATCATTATCATGAAAATCACTCACACGCACTAGAAATGATCCAGAACAATTCTATTCACTTTATTTACTTTCAGTACAGTCGCACTGCCTGCATAACAGCAATGATAAATAATCTTAATTTACCAACTCTCACATCTCGACATAAAACACATTGTCTAGTTCTTTTTGATAAGCATTACCCTCATCCACACTTGCATAACGAACTAATCAGTCCTTCGCAGTACATTTCCAACAGACTTGACAATGTACATAAAGTCGGAAATTCACCATGTAGAACTCACGCATTTTTAAATTCATTCATACTGCGTACATCAAAAGAATGGAATTGCCTTTTCAAAATGGAATTTTACTTTTCACTGCTTCATTGAGTTACTATTATTTCTTTTCTTTGTTGTCCTCCACAAATGTCAATGTATATTATTGTTGGGTAACTTATTGTGTTATTTATACTA